GAAATATACTGTAAGCTCATGGCGTTTATCTACTCTTTTTGCACTTCCTGTTGGATGCAATCTGCATTTCGTTGTACTACGTGCAATGACAATAAAGCTGAATCTAATCTAATTAGCTCTCACAGGAAGGATTTAAAAAAAATGTATAAACAAGTTCTGCCCTCTTGCTTCAACTTACTTAGTTTTCTTGCACCTTGACTGCATGTGTTAAAGGTAAATTAGCTGAAAAAAGTAAGTAAGCAGACTGTGAGGTTGTTTTTCCAAATGGTTTGAGTGAGCTTTAATCTGCTGAATCTGGTGAATTGATTTACTATATGGTGTTTCTCAATGTCGAGTACGCTTGCTTGGTAGCACATGTCTGCCGAGCATCTTGCTTCAGAAGCGAGGCAAGAATACTTCCTGGCATTCGGAAAACGAAGAGTGGAACAGGCGAGCAAGTGTGCAGGTGTGCGTCATATGAGAGGCCCCGCATTACATTTTACGCCACAGATTTGGGGAAATTGGTCCGTGCGCAAAGCATTGTGGGAATTTTAAGACCGCGGAGTCTACACATGTGCAGCCTCGATATTTCTCGCTACGAAGTACGCCGGGCTCGGTAGAATTCCAAGTATGCTGGAGATTGGAACAGTACTTCGGCGGCACTCGATGACGTAGTATGCTTGAAATAGTGGCTCTGGAGCAGCTTTACTCGACATTGAGAAACGCCCACTATCCCCCCAAAAACAACTCAAAAAAGGAAGTAGTTTGGGGGTTTGCTACAGACCTGGCATCCCAAAACTGTTACAGCTGCATCTCATTGAACCTCTGGACAAAATGAATCCAGTGTGTTTTGTGGGTGGGAAGGGGCAGTGTCTTTAACAGTCTCTGCAGGTTATTTTATTGATGTGTGCTTTTTTATATCTAGCTCTCAATCAGTCAGGCTGCTGGGTAATCAATACTGGTAGAGGGCATTAAAACCCAGTGTGTGTGTGTTTGTGTAAATCCATGGAAAAGGAATCCTCTCCTCCCTAATTCCTGCTCCTTATCTCTCCTCCCAGACACCCATCAGTGTCACATTTTCAAAGATATATGAGCCTGATAGTTTAACGACTTTTAACAGCATTTCCTGCTTTTCACACTCGAAAAGGGGCTTATGTTGCACCCTCCACTGATGTTACATTACTGTACATACTGCCTACTTGTTAACAATTACCCGAGTTTCTCATGTTTTGCAAATGTCCGACATGTTTCTGTGTGTTGAGGAAATAATTTCCAACCGTGACATTAAACAAAGCTTGAACTTTAACGCGTTTCCTTTTAAAAGACAATATTTAAAGAGTTCCCTTCAAAGAGCTGATTTCTTTATAATGCAACCATGCCTCTGCTATCTGAGCTAATACCATTACGCGTGTAGAAATCCAGTTTTTCTCGTTCTTAAGTGGCCACACGATCAATGCATAATTAATAAACTAAATCACATCCTCTGCCAGATTACATTGTGCTCCAGCCTTGGAACATTTGCCCACAAATGCACAATGAATAAAGCACGAATGCCGAGTGGTGCAATCCTGACCTGATCGACCCACTTTTCTAAAGCACAAGTGTCTTTCATACACAGTCAATTGGATCATTAGCACATCAGAAAACAGGCTTTTTGATGTTTTTTTGGTATAAACCTTTGGCAGGAGCTCACTGCCGTTTCAGGGGGATTCTCACTTCCAAATCTCCTTTTGGAATCGTTACACTGCAGCTTCACACAATCTGTAATGATGCTGCTGTAAACACGACATGAATGCACTGGATACGTTGTGTCCATGCAAACAGAGCCAAGAGCAGTAATGTAGCAGAAACATGTGAAATCAGTTGCTATATCTCCGAGTAATTCTTGACATTTTGCCACAACTAGTGTGAGAACTGGACCCTGAACCAGGCGTTGTTGCACATGTGTGCAGCTCTGCCGCTTCAAAATATATACATTACATTTCATTTAGCTGACGCTTTTATCCAAATCGACTTACAATTACCAATTACAGGGACATTCTCCCTGGAGTAACTAAGGACTAAGTGCCTTACTCAAGGGCACACTAGTGGTGGTGTTCCTGGCGGGATTTGAACTCACAACCTTGCGATCTTCAGCCCACCTCACTATCCATTAGACCACCACTATCCCCAGCAGTATTTATTTACCATGCATCAAGAACAGTCACTAAAACGTGATGCACACAGCTGGGATTGGAGCAGTTGTTGATATTGATGGATTATAGCGTTGGCCAACTTTGTAAAACAACCTAAAATGTAACTTTTATCAGCTAATTTTTTACAATGTTATCGGATGAATGACTAGGTTAGTTAGACCCTAAAGTCAACAAGCGCTATGGTCCCCGTCCTGTGTGTGCATCACTTTTTAGTGTCCCCATTTTTGTTGTGTATTGATCTTCTTGCACCTTTCTATTTACCTGCAGTTTTGTATTTCCAACGTTTCATTTGTGCAGCGCTTTGCGTAACCCCTACGCTTGTTTCGTTAAGTTGGTGAATGTCTTCTTAACGCTGCTAATGTTTCATCAAGTTGTGGCAGGTGTTTCTTCATTTGCATGTGTTTTGGCACATTAGTGTTTTTCTATTTGTGTTGTTTTTGAAACAGCAGCTTGTTTCTCCCAATGGAAATGTTTTGGGGCCTCCGTATTAAAGCTTTTAGCTGAAGTAAAGAACTCTGCATCACTGCTTGTAAACTGGAATAGAGCGTAATTTAGAAACTATCTCCCCATATCATGGAAACACAACAGGCTGCGAGAGAATGGATGCTCCTCTTAATGTCCCCCTGCTGTGGCAAACTGGTGTAGAACTGAAATAACTGAGAAACATAGCCCCGAGCTGCACAATGCATTCACGTGAACACACACACACACACACACACACACACACACACACACACACACACACACACACACACACACACACACACACACACACACACACACACACACACACACACACACACACACACAACTATAAATCTGTTGCTTTCTTTCAGCAGCCATGTGCCAACAGGAGACACTAATCTGAGAAAGAGAGGGGGAGAGACGGGGATAATGTGACCTGAGACTGGTTCAGATAAGCACTTTTTGTCCCTTCTCTATCTCTTTTTCTACAAATCCAAGAAACACACACAACCACACACACACACACAGAACATCATTGTCAGTTTGCCTGCCACTGAGTGTCACCGTGACAGAAGAGGTCATGCGGATGAATTGCTGCTTTTATGGGATGTGAGCTTAGATGCCGGATTCGAGGTCAAAAGTCTAAACATCCAATCAGGACGCAGCATAGCTAAACCCTTTGAACGCAGGGATCATGATAAGTTACCGGCGGGATCTATTGACGTCAATGAGGACACCGGCACACAATACATATTATCCAGACGAAACCAGATGGTTGAAAAAGGTTTAGTCTTCAATTATGTCCGACTAATTTCAGTTTTAAAAGACAATATTTGACTCTCTCACAGTGGATGATATGGTCATAATGATCATATCTCTAAATGTGGACATAACTGTCAGCAAATACAGTCAGTGTTTCCATAACAGCTGATTTCCTGGCTCTTTAAAGAGGCCGTATGATGCTTTTTGGGGTTTTCCCTTTCCTGTAATGTGTTATAGGTTTTAGTGTAGAATAGAAGCACGAAATACAAATACAATCTGCATAGTTGGGCCCTTTTAATGACGTGAATTGTGGCCTTCTATAAATAAAAAACATATTGATCCAAGCCTGTTGTAAAGACATTGAACGATGACAACACACTGAATGTAAACTGCCATTGCAAGTCACATTACAGTATATTAATCACTAGTAAATCATGAACTAGACTTTTTTTGCACATGCATGATCATGAGTAGTTTTTGTATCCTTGGTGGTATCCTTAATCGAGGTATTCACGTTTCTGTCAGACTTAAAATATTCAAAGATTAGATTTTCTTCTTCTTCTGTGGTTCCTGCCTGACCTACTGTCTCAAAGTCTTTCTACCTATTTGTCTTTTTCCAGTTTCCTGCCCGCAGTTGAAGGATTAGAATATGCTCTTCTGAAATCGGCTCGTCAGCCTGCCAGCCACTGATAAGCACACTCAGGATCGATTAGATCTGCCTTTAATCTATTCAACTTTTCAGTCGAATGAAATAATGCTTAGTATGTGAGATGTGAGGTGCACGATACGGTGACTTTGGGAACCCGTGCCCAGAGGGCGAATGCATTGTGAGCCGCATTTTCAGGCATGAGATCATATTAAATATGCATTTGAACAAGTCCTCTCTAACAAGCTGCTGTAGGCAAATACAAGCTAAACAATTCAGAATACATTCCTATTAAGCATGAAGGACAGAGATCATTGCTTGGAGAAACAGAGGCAACGATGGGAAGGGAAACAAAACTCACCAATATAATAATAATGGATGAAAGGCTGAATGAAAGGGTTGCAGATAAAGCTCTCTGTGTGCTCTCACCATCCCTCTCTGAAACAGGGAGCCAGTTAAACAGAATGCTAAACAGGCAAGTGGGGCCTGATGTGTCGATGCCAATTCACAAGCCTTTTGATTAAACACACACACACACACACACACACACACACACACACACACACACACACACACACACACACACACACACACATACACACATACACACATACACACATACACACACACACACATACCATGTATACATCACTTCAAGGGACATTATATTGACTTACATGCATTTCCTGGAGACTTATCCTAACCTTAACCATAACCAACACATGCCTAACCCTAACCAAGTCTTCACCCTAAAATTAATGATTCCCCTTATGGGGACCTCCATTATGTCCCCATAAGGGAAGCCAGTCCCCACACGTGACTGTGTAAACAGATTTAGGTCCCCACAAGTATAGTAATTCTAGGACACACACACACACACACACACACACACACACACACATACACATACACATACACATACACATACACACACAAGAAATGTCAGAACGCACCTTTAGCTCATTACGTTGAGGGTTTTCTCTGCACGGCGACACAGATCTGAGGGAAAGAAGAGAGGGCATTCAGTTAATCACATGTAAGAAATAGCATTTATTGAAGAGGAAAAGGGTTCAAAGACATTGTGTATGAAGTGATTATGATGTAATTAGATATGAGGTAATTGAATGTACTGCATATCTCATTATGTTCATGTGATTATGATGCAGGGCACGGAGTGAGAGGAACACATGTGGCTCGTTTATAGCGGGACATTTCAGGAGAAGGACACAAATGTAATAACAAAATGGTTTCTAATGCACATTTAAACAAACACATCTCTTTCAACCTCCATATGTGAAGCCGTCAGACTCTCTCTCTAATCCGCCTTCCTTAAGCTCTCCACAATGACTTTGCAAGTTTCAAAACAGTTTCCATGCCATTAAAGGAAAGCAACATCAACAAAGACGCAGCAGGCGGAAATCCTGCAGAGATTTGTGGATTTTCAAACAGTATTTAAATGTATTGCATTCCACTTTCTTATTCCCAAACAACTGCACTGAAGCAATGCATGAGGGAAGCGAGGAATATAAGAAATATAGTATATTTAATTCATGTGTTGACTACTCTGAATTCACAGAGTCACTTCCTGGTTGTGCAGCGACTCAGTGCTCGTTAAGGCTTTCACCACAGAGCCGGATGCAAAGTGAGGAATACACTTTTTCAACACAAACACAAACTCACAGATTAACGGTTGCTGTCCTGATTCATTACAATGCACACCTGATTCCTTACGATTGGCTGAAAGTCTTTGACATTATGTATTCAAGAGGCCCGTTGGTTTTGTCAAATTCGGCCCTGATTCTTCATTTCATTTTCCTGTTCACACTGCGGGGGTGCGCTTGAAATATAAATGTTGCTATAAATATTAAATGTTGCTATGAGGTATTGCTTTCAGTTTTGAAGAGCAATACTGGTGTGATGTCATCTTTTTTTAATGAACGCAAAAGTTAAATGTTTGCATCATAAGTATGATTTACTGATTTTACATTTGCCAGTACAGCATTTCTGTCCAGAAACTAATTAAAACAGTAAATCTTTTGCATTATGTGACACCCCTTATTGAGCCAGTGGTGTTTAATTGTTTAGTACTCCATGGCATGACTAATGATACTGGTAATCTCTACATAAGAATTTCCCAAATTTTGATTAATAAAGTATATATCTATTTATCCATCTAGTAGTAGTAGTAGTAGTGGTGGTAGTAGTAGTAGTAGTAGTAGTAGTAGTAGTAGTAGTAGTAGTAGTAGTAGTAGTAGTAGTAGTAGTAGTAGTAGTAGTAGTAGTAGTAGTAGTAGTAGTAGTAGTAGTAGTAGTAGTAGTAGTAGTAGTAGTAGTAGTAGTAGTAGTAGTAGTAGTAGTAAAAAACCAATTGAAACCCAACAGCACAAATAATGTGACATGCGTTCTTTGTTATTGTTTATTATTTTCATAAATCAGGATATTATAAGTGTCTGAAGCCACTGTGTCTTAAAAATAGTTGCAAACAAGTGTCTAAATATGACGACTGAACATCATCACGCCAAACATTAGCTACAATTAGCTTAGCGGTGGTGACTGTGACCGTGCTGTAGTTCCTTTATAGCCCAACGTTAGCCACCTTTAGCTTAGCGGTGGTGATGTGAAGTCATGTGACCGTGCTGTAGTTCCTTTATAGCCCAACATTAGCCTCCTTTAGCTTAGCGGTGGTGACTTGAAGTCATGTGACCGTGCTGTAGTTCCTTTATAGCCCAACATTAGCCTCCTTTAGCTTAGCGGTGGTGACTTGAAGTCATGTGACCGTGCTGTAGTTCCTTTATAGCCCAACATTAGCCGCCTTTAGCTTAGCGGTGGTGACGTGAAGTCATGTGACCGTGCTGTAGTTCCTTTATAGCCCAACATTAGCCACCTTTAGCTTAGCGGTGGTGATGTGAAGTCATGTGACCGAGCTGTAGTTCCTTTATAGCCCAACATTAGCCGCCTTTAGCTTAGCGGTGGTGATGTGAAGTCATGTGACCGTGCTGTAGTTCCTTAATAGCCCAATGTTAGCCACCTTTAGCTTAGCGGTGGTGACGTGAAGTCATGTGACCGTGCAGTAGTTCAGTTATAGCCTAACGTTAGCTTTTTTCTTCAAAAAACAAAAGGTGGTGTTAATATGTGAAGATTTCCTGCTGAACAAAACCTGTAAATATCAGAAACGTTTGTTTGCCACAGATCTTGTTTTCTGCAATACTCCAAAACCAATTGAAAAATCCCATTGACTATTTTTGGAGGAAACTCTTTGATGCTAACTTCCAGGTCGGCAATAGAAAATATGTCATCCCTGCACCACTGTACTGGTGAATGTGTGATGGAGAAAATGCCCCAAAATGAGTTTACATTCAGAAGTTTGACATGACTAAGTGTTTGGAGCAGCACTGATTGAACGGAGGACGATTACAATTGATCACAGATGTTTTTGAAAACCTTTAAAATGTTCCATTGCACCCCCATTGTTATCTGGCCGAGTCAAAGCTCTCGCCTCCATCAGTGAGAAGCCCAGCGGGTGAACAAGGCTAAAACAAACTGAGTAAAGCAACCTTTTTCTTAAAGTTCTCCTCCATCCAGTCATTATGTGGGTGTGATGGTGCATGAGTGAAGAGATGAGGATAGAGAGAGATGTTTTATTGCTGTAATGGCTAAATATCAAAAGGCCAAAGACTGCCTTTATCCACCGTGCCACATTTCTTTTACCCACGTCTTAATGAATGTGCAGGGAGAGATCAAACAGCTCCGAGGAGCGACACTGTCATAATTAACCTTCCCTCCGTTTTGATTAAGGACTAAAGATCAGCCCTTAGTGGCTTTGGTGGAAAATACTTTTGTTAGAGAGGTCGTGTGTCTGTGTTAAATGGATTTCAAAGCAACAACTAGTGAAACAGAGTTTTACAGCTACAAAGACGTCTATCACTTTTATACTTTCTAATAACCTCAGTGCCTTCTTAAGTGCTGCGTGATCGACGACACAAATGAAAGCAATTCACTTCAGAGGCTCTATTACAGTATGCTCTGGGGTTTTCCCTTTCCTGTGTTGTGTAATATAGGTTTTAGTGCATGTAAATGTGTCGAACGGAGCCAGTTGAGGTGGTTCGGGCACCTAGTAAGGATGCCACCTGGGCGCCTCCCTAGGGACGTGTTCCAGGCACGTCAAGCTGGGAAGAGACCGAGGGGTAGACCTAGGACCAGGTGGAGGGATTATATCTCTTCGCTGGCCTGGGAGCGCCTCGGGATCCCCCAGTCAGAGCTGGTTGATGTGGGGAAAGGAACGTTTGGGGCTCTCTGCTGGAACTGCTACCCCCGCGACCCGACCACGGATAAGCGGGAGAAGATGTATGGATGGATGGTGCATGTAAATGGTCTGCAGAGGCTAAAATCCCTGTGTTCCCTCCAGATGGCGTTTCTCTCCCAGTGTTTTTTCCTCACCTGTTCCCATAAAATATCATATTAATTAAAAAGAATGGTTTCACTCTTTTGCATTTCAAGAAAGTAACAGCAGGAGAGTGATGTCCCGTCAACGCCCAGCTGCCAAAAACACCTTTAAAACCAATAATTATTCAGCGTTAGTAAGACACCTATCATGCTATCACTGTTATCATGTATCAGATCAGCCTGCTTTGTATGCAGAGACTCCTGTCACCTTGTTAAAAAAGGAATACATGTGTTTGATCCAAAGCAACACGTGCGTACACAGTACAGTTTGAAAGCCCTGCAGTAATCAGTATTGTGTAATAAGAGCAATGTCACAGTGGAATCAAACCAATCACTATTGTGCTATCGCTCTCACCGACGATTGAGCTCATTCCAAGCAGAAAATGACAGCTCGTTATGTGAGGGGAAAATGGATTTCACCGTGTTGTGGTGTTGCAAGATTCCCCGAGACAACACTGTCAATACTGTAACACACTGTCTGAGATATGCAGTGCATGAATAAAGGCCTATCGATTGGGAGTCGGCTGCAAACAACTGTGTTGCATTCAGATGCACGGCTTCCAGAGAGTGATCATATTGGGTATTGATTTGTGTTTTGATGAATTGCATTCATATCTAAAGAGTGATTCCCTCAATGTGAGAAGCCTACGTCTCATGCTTTGTTCCTGCAATAAATAACAATCAACATACAGGTGTTTGAAAGACGTCATGATGTATGGAAACACTCCAGTCATGAACATATTGTTGTTTTGGCTGCAGAGTGCATCCCTAATGGTAGACTGTTATCATGTGGATCTATAGATTTTAAGCACTGCACATCCCCGCTATATTATTCTCTGTTGCACTGCACAACAAGAGGCCAAACAGCAGCACTTAACACTCAGCGTGATGTAAGAGTCCTCCTCTGTGCAACAAAAGACAAAAAGCAGGTATGAAATGATTTATGCTGCAGCTGCTAGAAAAATAAGCCATTTAAGGATAATCATCATCTCACAGCTAACCAGAAATCTGTCTTTTTTTGGAGGGATTTTCGTATCAGTTTGCAAGCGCTGTAAGCATGCCGACTTTCTCAAACACACACACACACACGCCATGCACACATGCAAATAGACAGCTTGAAATGCAGCCATTAGTGTTGCGTCTGTCATTAGCTAAAAGGCCTGAAGCTGGAGCCACACCAGAATAATTATTCTGATTAGAGTCCTCTAGCTGAGCTCTATCCAAACACATTACACTCTCTGGGATTACAATCTGGTGTTTCATAGTTTCTAAATCAAGATGTTGGGATTTATCCCGTGATAGCAGCCAATTGGAGGCTCAGCATTGAACACAAAAGCGGGAGAGAACGCCTCATGTTATGCAGAGCTATAAAAGCAAACAGCAATTTCAAGTTAGTCTGGACTGGAGATAAAGTTTGAAGCCAGTTTTTCCTCCTCTCACAGCCTCTGCTCTCGGCTTTACAGGGCAGTATAACTTTGACCTTTTTCTCGAGGAAACTTGGCCGCATCCGAGGCCCTGAAGTCATTCTTGACCCGGAGTTTAAAACGCATTAAGAC